GATGTAAGGGAAATATGTCAGACGTTAAAAAAGGTATAATGTTGACTGTGGCTTCCAAAAAGAAAATGTAGACTAAAGAATATTCTCAAAAATTTAATTTCTTTTACAATTTCAAGGATATTGACCCATACCTACGAATATCCTTAAACGGTAAAAGTAAAGACAAACAGTTATTCTAGAATCGTTGCATCCACTTTTTATTGTTTTGCTGATCTAGATATATAGCATTACATAACTTGGAGATAGAACTACTAGTAAGCATATGAAGACTCCGAAACGAACATTCTTGCTGTACCTTTTTTTAAATGGTTAAGATCCCTAACAGTGCTGATGTTGCCTTTATATGCGATGCTTGGCTTTTAACTCTTACAATAGCGACGTCTGTCACGGACACAAATATCCCATGAATTTCCTTTTTCTCTTTATTAAATCACTTTCAGAGAGAACGAAAACTTTAGTGTGTAGTCTTATCTTTCTCATAAAGCATTTGAAGGATAAAATTAAGAAGATTTATCAAATTAAAGATTTACAAAATAGGACTGTTATCGTTACATTTTGATTAACAACCGTGCACAACGGATCCGCATGGGGTACATACATTTGTTGTATTCCGGCAGAAGGACGATTTTGAATCAAATACTTTCGCAGAATCACAGTATGTCAGCGTGGTGTTTCCATTTACGCAAGTGTAGTATTTATCACACTTGTCTTCTCGTTCACTTTCATAGTTACCGTTTGGTCGACCGGAGCAGTCGATTGCATATCCTACCTGCCAATAGGATGCTGGTATTTCGAATAGGTCTCTGCATTTCCCATTGTAAGGTGCCATGTTAGTTGGACAGGGATTTTGACCACCATAAATGTTTCTTTCATCTTGACATTCAAAATAGTTCTCTCCAGGTGGCGAAATATATGTATTTCTATGTATTCCGTCAGCAAATCCCACACAGTCAGGGGTGAAATATATGCAGGCCTTACATGCACCTAAACAATAATAGCTAACTGCAAGGTAGTCACCTACAAGTTTACCAATCATTAACTAAACATTCTATTTCTAGCAAAATAAATCAATTGGCTGATGTCCAAACGTATAATTAATGTAGTAACAAATGTATATTACCAGATTTAATACACCATTTTCGTCATAAGAAAATGCCTATACCAAGTCAGGAATATGACAGTTGTTATCCATTCGTTTGATGTGTTTGAGCTTTTGATTTTGCCAATTGATTAGGTACTTTAAGTTTTGAATTTTTCTCGGAGTTCGGTATTTTTGTGATGTTACTTTTTACATTATGAGTAGATAAAAGGTGAATTGTGTTTTAATTATTAATAAATTTACTTAATATCTATTTTTATAAATTTGTTCATTTCATTTGATTTTTTTGCTTCAATGTTCAGAATGTATTGTTATAGAAGGTTTTTGCTAATCGTTTCAACCTACTCAAAAAGAAATTTCGACCTCTTTGTGATAATTGTTTATTTCATTTGTGTACCGTAATTAAGAGGTGTTTCATAGACATCCACCCTTACCTTAAATTTACTCAATATACTTACATTTATTTTTTGTTTCATATCTTGACCCACATTTCACGTCTGTATAATTTTGACAGGATATATTGGCTGAGAAAAGTTGAGGGTAAGGACATTCGTGCAGGTAGGCAGGTCTTAGAATTTGTGGTATGTGATCGTATAGTCTGTTCTCTGTTGGAAGGGGAGACACCGCTTGACTGCAGTTATAGTACAGCTGACATGTATTTGGATGCGGTATAAGTGTGGTTGCGTCGGATTTGCATGTTTGGTTGACATCTAAAAATAATATAAAAGGCTTGTTAATATAGTTAACAAATGAATGTACCGACTTTTGGTCGCTATCTGTTGTTCATAAGATCAAATCAGTATTCTCATTTCATTTACCTAATGAGGTTATGTGTGAAAACCAAAAAACCAAAAAGGTGCATAAATACCACACTGCAAATGAGAAGCGTTTTCATTTATGTACTGCTCTACCCATTGTGATTTAGAACACGGTTTTTATTTGACAATAAGGTGAAATTAGTGATTTAAAAGGTTGAATCAAATACATGGATAATTTGTCACTTAGACATTGTTAGCTAAATTAAAACGTCTTGATAAATAATATTATAATCCATTGATTGTGAAAATATGTTTATAAATGTAAAATTGAGAATGGAAATGGGGAATATGTCAAAGAGACAACAACCCGACCAAAGAGCAGACAACAGCCGAAGGCCACCAATGGGTGTGAACATTTGTTAAAATCAAAGTTAAACAAACCTATTTCACACTTCGATCCAGCAAAGCCATCGTTACACAAACAAGCTTTGTTGACGCAAATTCCTCCGTTCTCACACGGTTCCTGCGAACATGGCACTAAAATCAAACGAGAACTTTGTTCATTACCATGTTATTTTTAGAGTGTTGTTTGTACTGTAAGAGAACGCGATTCTATCATTTCGAGACATTGATATCATTTTTTTATGAAATAAACAATAATAGATAAATACAAAACACGATATTTATGAATTATTTTTTATATTTAATAAACCATTTTTTAATAATTTTACTTGAATGCTGGTTATTTCAAGTTTATACCAAATAAAAGCAAATATCATTCACCTTTTACAGAAGTGTGGTTCTTACAGATCTTTAAAAAAAAGAATATAGAGAAATTAACATTTTGCATCTGAGTTTAAAATTTTAAACACAAAGTTTCGGCAGAAAGTGTCCAGTTGGGTTAAGTCAGTATCGTTCGCCATGAAATCAATTATCATCACATAGTAGTAATTTGATTTATAAAGTTTGCAAGTCTGATGTATAACGATCGTAAAAAAAAGATAAAAGTCCAATGATTATTATACGTGTTTGTCATATTATAGTAATTTTTTGTTGAATATTTTTATCAATTATTCATACTTACGAAATATATATATTTACTAGGGATGTCAACTCGGTAAGGATACTAATCGAGTACTCGTTGGATTTACCGAGCGATACTAGAGTATTCGCTCGGAAAAAACATCTACAAAATGGAAACACAAAATTATACCAATTATACGTATTGCGGGCTGTTGTCTTATGGACGTGAAACCCTCAACATTATTACCTAGGACAAGATAATAGTCCCAGGAATTTTATACCATAATTAATAGCTAATTTACTACATGTACTTATTATGTAAACTGGCAATCATCTTATCAAATAATTGATTAACATCGATAGAAAAATGATAACTAAAACAACAGTATTTGGGAATCGTAAAGAAACACTTCAATTATCAAGAAAGGGGAGATGATTAGAACTTACTGATGCCTTTAACCATTTTCTGAGGGTCGACAAAGGGAGCAACGAAATTGTTCTTATTTAGAAATATTCTCTTGTCAACTTTTTCTTGGACGAATCGATTTCTCAACTTTGTTACGTAACTAACATTCCTATGGATGACAATTTTGCTCTGACGGTACAGAGGTTGTAGAATGACTTTAACAGGATTATCAAAAAAGTGTAAGCATTGGAAAGGTGGTATTATTCATAGCATTCCTCTGTTCAGGGGAATTTTAGATTACAATTTAACGCAAACATTCGGAACAAATTTTGATTTTGAATAATTTCGATTAATTTCCAATTCCCCGGGAGGCGCTCTTAATAAAAATATTTTGTCTTTAAGATGGCAATTACATTTTAACAAGAAGCCGGTTAGTCGAGTATCGTTTTGGTATTCGATACTCGATACTACCGAGCGATACTTGAGTTGACATGCATAATATTTACGATATAAATTTGGTATTTCTTAGAGCATAACTTTTTGCACGAAGTACTCTACGCGTAAAAATAGAGTTGATCTATCATATTGGTGAAGCTAATAGGTCTATCACTTTATGTTGTTTTCTTACAAGTAGGTTGTTTTACATACAAATTAGAAACCTTTGACGGAATGTCTGTCAGCCAATAACAGATTAGCACTTGTATAATTTTTAAAAAAATTACTGAAAATACAAGTATTTCAAAGCCATTCTGTAAGTAATATGTGGAGCTGTTTTTTTTTTATAAAAATAGAATCATAGGTTGAAAAAACAGACAACATAATGTCAATAAAAAAATTAAGGACATATATCATTTGTCAAAACACTACACAGAATTCTAATTATTGAGCCCCGAGAACCTCACATAACCATGAGTAAAAATAAGTGCCATATTAGCTCCAGCATTTCTGCTACTCTTGTGAACTCTTTTAATATTATACATTTTATGCATGAACAATGTGTAAATCACAACTATGAAAGTACATGTATCCGTGATATTAAATTAAACATTTTTATCATCATGCTATTTGCCATCATAAGAGCATAATTAGCCAGTTTTATAATTTACTTTAGAAAATGCTCACATGGATTTTTCTTTTGTAAATATTAGCTTTCGAGCATCAAGATAACATGTTACAACAAAACAGGCTGTACATAATCAGAATTTTTTTGTTAAATTTTGACACAGTTTAATTTCCCAGCAGAATGAGCAAGCGATATTGAGTTAATACACAAAAGGTAGAGCATGAACAGCAAATACTATTAATTATATCACAGAAAGACAAAAAATACACTCACCGTTTGGCACAAAGATGAACGATTTTTATATTATTTATCTTTTCGGCCGTGTGAAAAATAAGAACAACGGGCAGTGAATAAAAGCAATGATGTTATTGTAAAGACAGGAGGAAAGACACATTTCATAAATGAAAATAAGTTAAAAAAATAAAGAGATTTACCAACTTCTTTTTATAAAAAACACATAAAAGGAAAAGAGAAAAATGGGTCCTCCGTGCTCCCAAGCGTCTGTAGTCTATTCCAGACAGCTTGGAGTTTGGTCGAAATAAAATCACCGTCTTGGTCAAGATTTATTGACGAAGTCTCAGAAAAATATAAAAGGAAAATATTGCTTTGTTAATTATGGGGACTAATGTCGTGTTAGTGAGAAAAATATACCTGGACAAGATGCATCTTCTGTGTTGTTGCAGCAAGTAATGTTGCATTGTGTTGCGTCTGATTTATCTATAAAAAAAAAAGATTGAAAAAAGACTGCTAAAAAACATTTACCATACATATCCTTTTTATTTCACATGCGTTTTACTTGCGATTCATTGTTATAATGTCTAAATTTCAAAACTTACATTTGCATGTCGGTCTCGAGTATCACTGAAGAAACATTAATTGTCGAAATGTGCATCTGATGCATTGAAATTGATATCTATCGTTTATTTCATTGCAACTATGATTAGAATAACTATTTTACTTACTGGTAACCTATAACTCTTGAGTCATCCGAAAGTGTTTATGTTTGTCGTCATTTGAAATACAATGACTAGATCTATTGTGATTTGACAACGGGGTTATGTGGGAATGCATATATTTATGCATTCACATTATGTATCATTCATAGGGTTAACTAGGGTGAAAATGATGTATGTAGCAGATAGGACAAAACATCATTTGAGAAAAAATACATGAGGCATGCAAATCCATTCCTGAAAATTTCGTTCAGGTAGCTGTACGGGTAAAGTAGATAAGTGAAATCAGATATTAATATCGACAAGCGGAAAGGGAAGCAAACATTTGTGGTGCTTTTTTTTATAATTTTTTATAATTGAAATGACTGATTGAATTGCACGGAAACGGGTCAATTATACAACTAGTTTGGAAAGCAAAAACACCAAAAGCACATGTTAAATATAAAAGATAATAACAATTATAAATGTCGTGCGATCGACGCGCTTTTATGGATTAACCTTCAATTGAAATGCTTGAACGCAAAGGATGTATAAATAATTGAATACATGAATACATGAAAAGATATATGTCCAAGGTCAGCTTTGCCAGAGGGAATTGCAACCTTAGTTTTTTCAATAATTTATAAATCATTCAACGAAATTTTTATGAAAAGTTTATAATAAATCATGTTAGGGCCGAAACACTGAAATGACTTCATAGCTGATGATATCTTAAGGCAATAACAGTTCACTAGCTGCAAAATCGGCCCAGTTATCGAGCGATTAAAGTGCTTTCCGGGAGTCACCTACATTATGGACGCTCAAACCGAAACATTTTAAAGCACAGGATGTATGGATATAAAATGTTATTATTACAGGAGATGTTGTATAATTGCCAGTGCGACAGCTATCCAACAGAAGTGAATTAATGCAACTATAGGTTGCACGCACGGCCGACAACAATGAGCAAAAACCAAAACCATATAGTCAGCCATAATAAGTCGAAGACATGACAAAATGCAAAACAGTAAGAATATAAAAAAATACAACGGCCTGATTTATGATTTAACAATAACGTATAAAAAAAGACAAATAGTAACCAACGACAACCACTGAATAACAGGCTCCTGACTTGGGACAGGCACATATACAGACAGGGCTAAGCCTGTTTGTGAGAGCTCAACCCTACAATAATTTAGGATAGTGGTATAACAGCAAAACATAAGAACAAAACGTACAACTCCGTTGAAAATTACTTGACTTATCAGAGAAGTATGAACCAAAAAAAACCAAGTAATATAACATAACGACAAAAGACAATAAGTAGCGATCTTAGAGTACTCGAAAATAAATACCTGGATATGTTAAGAACATTATGATCTTAAGGTATCTCAAATGATCAGTCAAATTCATCTAAGGTCAACTTTGCTTGCGGGAATTTGAACCTAAGTTTCTAAAAGAGGGACGAAAGATACCAGAGGGACAGTCAAACTCATAGATCGAAAACAAACTGACAACGCCATGGCCAAAAATAAAAAGAAAAACAGACAAATAATAGTACAGATGACACAACATAGAAAACCAAAGACTAAGCAACACGAACCCCACCAAAATAATATAGAATATTCTCTTAATTTATAAACGGAGTATTTAAGAAACAAGTTTGTTATAATACGTTGTTCGGCTGTGCCTTTTTTATGTGCTGATTCAGGTTGTTTCACGTATTCGTTTTTATTCTGTAGTTAGTCACCACTTCGGTGCTAACAAGCATATCTATTATATAGTCATTTTTATAAATTTACTGTTTGCAAAAGTATGAATTATTCTAAATACTAAGGATTTTCTTAACTAAGGCATATAGTCTTATGTAGACGAAACGCGCGTCTGCCGTATTAAATTACAAGCCTGGTACCTTTTGATAGCTATTATTTGTGTGTGTCTCTGTCCTGTATGTTCTCCCATTTATTTGTATTGTAGTCCTGTCATGTAATCTTGTCATTTTAATGTTATATTTAACATTGCCATAAAAGCGGGAGGTTTGGCTAGCCACAAAACCAAGTTCAACCCACCATTTTATTCTAAACAATGTCCTGTACCAGGTCAGGAATATGGAAATTGCTATCGTATAGTTTGTTTCTGTGTGTGTTGCATTGTCGTTTGTTTTTTGTTCACTTCAGTGTTTCTGCTGTTTCGTTGTCGAAATATACTATTTTGTATTGTTAATTGCGTAATTCTCTGTCATGAATGTTGTTGCATTTATTTGTACTGTATTCCTGTCATGTAATGGTGTCATTTTAGTGTTATATTTCATATTGCTATAAAAGTGCGAGGTTTTGCTAGCCGCAAAACCAGGTTCAACCCACCATTTTTTCTTAAAGTGTCCTGTACCAAGTCAGGAAAATGGCCATTGTTATATTATAGTTCGTTTCTGTGTGTGTTGCATTTTAGTGTTGTGTTTCTGTTGTGTCATTGTTCTCCTCTTATATTTGATGTGTTTCCCTCAGTTTTAGTTCGTAACCCGGATTTGTGTTTTTTTTCAATCGATTTATGAATTTCGAATAGCGGCATACAACTGTTGCCTTTATTTATAAATCAATCCAATACCGAAGGAATGACTACCGAAAAGTTAAGCAGCAGTATCGACCTAGTGCTAGAAAATTAGGAACCTGCAAATTCAAACAGAAATACACCAAATATAACTGGACAACGACATCCGTTTTGAACTGATAAAAAAAGGTAAGGGAAATTTCCGCTAAAACTATTTATAAGTCATGTTTCAAAAGTGTTTTTTAATCTTACTTATTAAATGATATGAGCAAATAAGCCGTAATACGGATAAATCAGCATGTGCAATACTGATGACGTTGACCTGTCGATATAATTCAAGAGTTAATATTGCTTTTCGGACAGGGCCAATACGGAAAAAACAAGGCCAATACGGAAAAAAGCCGTATCGGCCCATGAGCTAATACTGGACGTTCACTTCCGGTTTCAATTTTCTTACGCCTTACTTAACTTTGGACGTATCGTTTTGCATAAAAACATTTGCATTATATCTTTTTAACTTAAAATCATAAAATAAAAAGTGTTAATGATGCTCAGTGTTTTGTAAAATATTGAAGTCTTGAAACGGAAATATTTCACAGCCTTTTCGAGTACGACTTTCGATTATTGACACTGTTTCATTTCCGTTGATCAATCATCAGAACACAGACGATCCAAGAGTAGGAATAGTTAAACTGTCTGATTTATTCTTCCCAGCTTCTTTATATTTGCTAGATAAAATGAATTGCAATAGCATAATATTAAGTACTTGGACGAGATATCAGAAATTACACCTTGACAATGTTGACAAAAACATCCATGCCACGTGAATGAAAAGACAAGTTCAGATATGAAATTCTGTATCTTCTTCATGGTACTTAGCTTATTCTTATTAAAAGAATTAAAATCCTTCAATAAAAGTGTTATGAACTGGCTGTTTCTGTATTGGCCCTGTTATAGATTCTCGATCAGCTGTATTGGCCCTCGACTCTTCGAGTCTCGGGTCCAATACAGCTAACCTCGAATCTATAACAAAGCCAATACAGAAACAGCCAGTTAAAACACTATATAAGCCACACAGCTGACCAGCTTTCATATGTGTATTCTGAGTATTAACAACATTATGTCGTTCTGCCAAACACTTAACCAAATAGATGTTTCAAAACCGTACTTTCCATGGATTTTGAAAAAATTAATAAAAAGACATTCATAATCAAAACTCAGGTGCTCCCTCTCTTTATAGTAGATCCTATATTTCTGTAATCGGAATCTCCTTTTAAGTGTAAACAGTTAGCAATAAAACCGGACTTTGTCCAATGCTTTAAAATTTGTCATGTTATCAAGACGTATAATATTTACATAGTATTAAATAATATTTCGACAATGCCGAATGTATGAAATATGAAAAAAAAACAATTTCTTTTCACAATTAATAAAGAAGTTCAAGTAGAACTGTGAACTATTGCTCACTAATGATACCCCGCTGTTAGGTTTAAGTAATCCGGAAATTGAATCTGAAAAAAACAAAACGCGGAAGCCATGTTTACATGAAGCCTGACGATAAATGAAGTTGCAAAGGAAAACTCGACGAAAGGTTCTTAAATGCCCAGTGTGTTTTGGAATGATATATAAGTATTTGATAAACAAGAAGTTGAAGTGCAACGAATCTCAAACTTTGTCACATATTGCATATATAATACGAAGCCTGATAACAAATTTTTCAGGAATTTATTATTTGTACTTTTCTAGAAAAATACAACGATTATTTCATTCATGGCTATTATGTTTAAAATATATAAGTATTCGTTAAACATTAAGTATACATCCTGCTTTGTAGCTATGGGGCCTCGGTGGCCGAGTGATCTAAGTATTCGAACTACTGTATCACTAGCCAGTCAACACTGAGGTTGTGAGTTCGAATTCCGCACGGGGCAGATGCATTCAACTCCAATCTTAATTGACTAGGTTTGTCAGTTTTCCTGCCAAAGGTCGGTGGTTCTCTCCGGGCACTCTGATTTCCGCCACCATTAAAAACTGACCGCAACAAAATAGCACAATAGTGTTCAAAGTGGCGTTAAACACCAATCAATCAATTAACCAATCCTTTGTAGCTGGAGTATGATTTGAAAAGATAAGATCACAGAACCATCCCCCGCCCGAACAAAAACAAAGAAAGACAAACAAAAACGAATAACACATGGGCAAGATACATGCAGCCTGTATGGGTTAATGCACAAAACCTTTTCGGGTTAAGCAACCTTTCTCTCTCTCTTGAATCATGATAAAATACCATGAAAACATAACCCACAATAAGGACCAATGTGTCCGATACTTACACTTTTCATTCTTTTCTGAAACAATTTGTTTTGTAACAAAGAAAGTGACAACTGCTGAAATTGATGCTGTGATTATAATGCAAAGCATAATTAGAAATATTGGCCTCAATACAGACTGTTTCTTTTGATGAACCTCACTGTCTGGGTGTTTCTTTTGATGAACCTCGTTGTTTGATTGTGTGAACTCCTTCTTGAATGTTGAGGTCAAAACAAGGTAATCATGATTTATAGTATCTCTATCTGCCGGTATTTGATCATAATCGTCTTTTTCTATATAATCAATACATTTCTCGTAACCTGCAGTATTTCCCAGGTCTATTTGACCTGCATTGACGTTATTGATAACATAGCTGCTCTGTCGTGGTCTTAACATCTTGTGAATTGACGATTCTTGTTTCTATCTCAAAAATGCACTGTAAAAAGATCAAATTTTAAGACACAAAATTAAAAAAAATAACTTTCAAGAAGACGAAAAGGATAAAACTGCTTAAAAGAGAATTATATTTACATGTCAAAATAACCTTGAGTTTGAACAAAACATTGTGATGAAATGAAAACAAGAACACTTTTCGTTTCCATAAAACATTTTTAAGTATATCTTAATATGGCTGAGTTAATATCCATAATTGACCTTGATATGGGGAACTGGTAAACTGTTTTATAGAGATAATGTGAAAAAGAAAAAAAAATTGTAAACTTGACCTTTAAAATAATTAGGAAGGACAGATTTTTTATTGAAATTTTTAATCAGAATGCAGGACTGCGAAACAGTAGAACATGTTACTATTAACGTCTTATTGAAGTTTGCAGACATTACCACGAGTTGGTTGATAGTTAGGAAATATCTGTGTCACAGATGACACTGATATGAACCAATTGTCGTAACCACAACTTCGTCCCCTCATCTTTTCCTCGATTGTTACAACCTCAATTTTTATATGACGACCTCTATATATTGTCAACCATTATATCTACTTTTAGCACAAACGCATTGATAAACAAAATTGGCTTTTTTCTCGTTACTTCTACCTCTATCTATATGACCAGGTGAATCTAATTTACGATAGTATAACCCACGTTTTAGTACGTAGGCCAAGCTCCAAGAACAGTACAGTTATAAGCATTCTTAAGAAAATAAAAAAAACCAGTCCATTTCAGTTATTAAAATTGAGAATGGAAATGGGGAATGTGTCAAAGAGACAACAACCCGACCACAGAACAGACAACAGCAGAAGGCCACCAACAGGTCTTCAATGCAGCGAGAAATTCCCGCACCCGGAGGCGTCCTTCAGCTGGCCCCTAAACAAATATATATACTAGTTCAGTGATAATGAACGCCATACTAAACTCCAAATTGTACACAAGAAACTAAAATTAAAAATAATACAAGACTAACAAAGGCTAGAGGCTCCTGACTTGGGACAGGCGCAAAAATGCGGCGGGGTTAAACATGTTTATGAGATCTCAACCCTCCCCCTATTAAACTATTTCGGCAGTCATAGGTTTGTTTTCATCTAACCATGGGTTGGGCATTAATATTCGATTACTTTATCCCGAGCGGTCAGCCCACGGTTATATAAAAACACATTAAGTATTTCTTAAATGAGTCTTGTCAAGGGTTTGTACATACATGAGCAACATGATGAGTGCCACATATTGAGCATGAACTGCTTACCCTTCCGGAGCACCTGAGCTCAACCCCAAACTTTGGTGGGCTTAGTTTTGCTCAATCTTTTTTTTTTTATGTTTTCTATGTAGTATTTTGTCGTCTTGTTCGTCTTTTCCTCGTGTTTTATGTGTTTCTTCCTAGGCGTTGTTAGTTTTTCTTTGACTTGCGAGTTTTGAATGTCCAATTGGCATCTTTTGACTCTTTTAATGAAATTAGCTAACTTGTGAATGAACCTTATATTCAATGGAAGTGGAGTATTTCGTGGTTCACTTAAAACAATTTGAGATGATCGCTGCTAAATTCAAAGCAAGTAAGACTTTTAAAATTTAAAATAAAAAAATAATAATTGGCTTCCAATACGTTGTTTAAATAAACAACATACAAATGTTTTGTCTTTAAACAAGACATGAACAGTGCATAAGGCATGACTACGTACACTGAGAGGAAAAGATTTATTTTTAGGAATGGTATATATCGCATATCCAAATGGAAAAACAATAAAAAGGAATGTTGCAAGTTTGGTAAAAATGTAGAAAATGAAAACAATCGATTCAAACACCATTTTAGATGCCTCATATCTTTTCACCAATGCATTGTGTGTGAATTCAGACCACCTATTTATTCAACCTCATGCTATTAAATAGAGAATAATATGCGCAGCTTTCCAAATATGCTCCACACCTACATTGCATAGCACAACATATACTAACTGCATGTTGAATCGAAATTATGGGTTTGTCATATTTTTTATTTAAGGTATTTTAGTTAACGTTGACATAAACTAGAACGAAACCCGTTATTGTGTCGTTTCAAGAAGGAAAACATCGCTTTGATGTGCTTAAGAATAAAAGAAAACTAAAATATATTGATGATTTCAAAAACATCTATATAGAACCCGACCGTTCTGGTCAGGAAAGATTGCAACAGGCAAAATCTATTCCAAATCTACAATTCAGAAATGGTCTTTATGGTCGGGTTGTTGTCTCTTTGACACATTCCCCATTTCCATTCTCAATTTTATTGTTATTGAAAAACAAAAATAACAGCAACGCCAATCAAATAGAGATGATACAAAATTAACAATTTGTAGCTGGAATTGCAATAGCATCTAAGAGACAATCATACAATAAATATGAATGGTAATACTTGGATAGGTAATAATAGGAATGTTATTTCGAATAAGGCTTGGCGAGGAAGCGGGGCGTAGAATTCCTTTTCAAAAACTCCAAATTTGAATATTTTGAAATTGACATTTTCAACAAAAGTAGAGATGATATACTTTGGATAAATTTAAAATCTGTAAATGATCCGGAGTTAGTCTAATACTTTTGTGTATATTATTTACAACCTCAGAGATCGAGTAGAGGAAACATTTCCCAAGATATTTACGAGCATTTACTCTCGCAATTGTATCTCTATAACACAAGGAATCCCATTTTCATTTGTGGCGATTTCAACGGACGGATAGAAGTCTCGCAAGATTATAACGATTCGCTTGATAATATACGGAAATGACAATATGTAGACGAGCAAAAGAATGCGTTTGTTGAACATTTGCTAGATTTCTTGTCAGATGCAAATGGTTGCATGCTAAACGGTCGCGGAGACCCTTCGAAAGACAATTTTACCTATGTGTCTACACAAGGAAAGTCCGTTGTTGATTATATGATAATACCGTACAGCGACACTGATAGATACATCAATTTTAAGGTAAAGCTAATGTCAGACATGCTTATAGACTACGATATTGAATTGTACTCTGACTCAAGGGTCCCTGATCATTCGGTTCTTACATGCACTTTTAAGTATTGTGAATACGAAAACATATTTTAATTTCTGATGTCTTCTGGAGATAAAAATATTTTCGAAAATATAATGTATCGAACATTCCAAGGGATATTTTTTGCAGCGAACGTTGCGTCAGGTAATTGACTCTTTACTCAACATCCGAAATATCGAAAGCCGAATTAATACTACATACAATACCTTAATCAATGTCCTTCATGAGGAAATGGATGATAAAACGGATTATAAAGATTTTTCACAAAACAGAAGCACACGTAAGCAAAATAAGACAAGGCCATATCGGAACGATAATTTACGTTCTGAATAGAGCCGAAAACGATTTTTTTGAATTTTAAAGGAGATCGACGTGAGAAATTGGAACTGAGAAACATATTCAAAAAGAGAAGACAATTTGACAAAAGCTTACGACAAGAGGAACGCAAAATCAAAATACATAAACTGAACAACATAAAATCATTCAACAGCGGAAATCCAAAAGAATTCTGGCAAGAAGGTAACAAACTAGGTCCTGGGAAAACGCGAACCAATATTGACTGCGTAAATATGCTTTATGGGTCCGTGTCTCATAATCCCATACACTTCTTTCAGAGATGGAAAGATGAATTCTCTAATCTGTTCTCTAGCGATATTGTAAACGTCGATAACCAATTCATAGCGCAAGTGCAAACTCTTAATTTACAACTCCAACAAGAACTTGATAATTGTGATATTCAGGAAGAAGATGACACCATGGGGATTACGGACGTTAATAAGTCGATTTAATTGGAAGAACTAAAAAAGGGCATTATTTAATCTTAAAAACGGGAAAGCAGCCGGAATAGATAATTTGCCTAATGAATTTTTAAAAAGTGAGAAACTGATTAATGTGTTACTTGGACTCTACAACGTCTGCTTTTCGAATGGCATAGTGCCTGATGCCTGGTTCCAAAATATCATCTGCCCATGACTTAAAAAGGGAAAAGCCTATCGTGATCCATTAAGTTACAGGTGCATTAGTCCTATGTCAACTGTTGCCAGAGTCTTCAGTCATCAACTAAATGGTAGACTGATGAAGTACCTTGAAAACAATAAACTATTGAGCGAGGAACAAAATGGATTCCGACGTCTCAGATCTAGTCTTGACCACATTTATTCTTTATGAACTATATTGAGGAACAGAAAATTAATGAACTTCGACACATATTTATGTTTTGTTGACTTTATCAAGGCATTCGATTCAGTAAACAACGCTGTTTTATCAAACAAACTGTTAGGTGCGAGAATTCATGGTAACATGTTCAAAGTTATAAAATGTCTTTACTCAAATTTGAATAGTGCTATTAGACTTTCACCAATGATGTTCACAGACTGGTTTTCTGTAGATTCCGGAGTACGCCAAGGGTACAATCTTGCAACTACGCTGTTGGCGTTATTTATTGACGATTTAGTGCTGCTTATCAAAGGTCTTTCGCAAGGAGTATTTATTAGAAACGACATGATAAGTTGTTTATTCTACGCAGATGACGTCGTTCTCATTTCGGCCTCAAGTGAAGGCTTACAGTCTCAACTCAATCTTCTATATGATTGGACAAAGAAAAATCTTTTAAATATGAACATTGAAAAAACCAAAACCATGTTCGTATGGCATCTGCTAGTAGGTCAGATGTTGTGTTTAGACTCAGACAAAAGGAAATAGATTACGTGGGAAAGTACCGTTATTTAGGCCTTACACTATCCGTAAACATTGACTTTAAGGTTTCTGTTAATGAGCTGTCAGCGGCAGCTAGCAGATCATTGGGGTCATTAACATCCAAATTCTTGCATATGGAAATATGGACTTCAATATATACACAAAGATATATGACAACATTGTCATCCCGGTTATGAATAATGCGTCTGGAATATGGGGTATCAGGTGCTATGACACACTAGAGAGACTACAATACAGAGCAATAAGGA